TAAGGAATACAAATTTCATAAGTACAACTTTAGGAATATAATTATTGTTCCCACCATACTCGCCCTCCCATCTATACTCCCATCCCTCCTCCTCCTCCCTCTCCCCTTGCCAGTCCCATTCTGAATTTTTTTATTTTTATTTTTTTTGACAGGCAGAGTGGACAGTGAGAGACAGAGAGACAGAGAGAAATGTCTCCCTTTTGCTGTTGGTTCACCCTCCAATGGCCACCGTGGCCAACGCACTGAAGCCGCGCACCGTGCTGCTCCGATGGCAGGAGCCAGGTGCTTCTCCTGGTCTCCCATGGGGTGCAGGGCCCAAGCACTTGGGCCATCCTCCACTGCACTTCCCTGGCTACAGCAGAGAATTGGCCTGGAAGAGGGGTAACCGGGACAGAATCCAGAGCCCTGACTGGGACTAGAACCCGGTGTGCCGGTGCCACAAGGCAGATGATTAGCCTGTTGAGCCATGGCACTGGCCCCCATTCTCCATTAAGATATATTTTCAATTAAGTTTGTACACAGATGACCAACTCTGTACTAAGTAAAGATTTCAACAATTTGCGCACACCCACACACACACAGTTTAAGAACTAGTTTTACAGTTAACTCTCATAATGCAATTCATTGAAGACAGAGGTCCTGCATGGGGAGTTAGTGTGCAGTGACTCATGTTGTTAATTTAACAATTAATACTTTTATGTATGATGTCAGTGACCACTGCAGGCTCTTGACATGAGCTGCCTAGGCTATGGAAGCTTTTTGAGTCCACAAACTTCATCAGTATTTGGACAAGGCCATATGCAAAAGGGAAGTTCTCTTCTCCCTTTAGAGAAAAGTAAATCCTTTTTTGATGCCCACTTCTTTCCGCTGGGTTCTCACTCACAGAGATCCTTCATGTAGAACATTTTTTACCACATTGTCTTGGCTTTCCATGCCTGAAATGCTCTCATGGGCTTTTCAGCCAGACCAGGAAGCGTTAAGGACTGATTCTGATGTCAGAATGTTAAAGTGATTATCATTCTATGAGTCTACTGTGTAGACTGCTTCTCAGTTAGAACATTCTCTCCTTTTAAATTCTATTATTATTATTATTACCAGGCACTTGATCCTATTTATATGATCACTCTAAACACTTAATCCTATATGTTCACTTGATTTCTACCTCCTTATTGAATTTTTTATTCATACCATCTATTGCTTTCCTCATTTCTTTAAACTATCTTTATTTCTTGCATCTCAATGAGTTTCCTTAGAATTATTATTTTGACTCTTCAGGTATTTCATATATTTCCTTCAGATCAGGATCTATTTCTGGAGAACTATTCTGTTCTTTTGAAAGTGTCATGTTCCTCTGCTTCTTTGTATTCCTTTTGCCCCAATTTTTATATTTGTGCATTCCTTTTTTTTTTAATGGAGCAGGTTTCATTTGAAACTAATTTTTTGTTTAGATGGAATGTAGAATGAAACTTAGGTTGTTGCTTTGGCCTTGGTTCTGAGGTGAGCCCAGAAATGTAGCTTCTTTTTCTTTTATTTAAATATTTATTTATTTGAAAGGCAGGGTGACTGGGAGAGAGAGATAGAGAGAAGAGATAGAGATGCTCCATCTGGTGATTCATTCCCTAAATCACCATAAAGGCCAAGGCTGGACCTGGCTAAAAGCAGGATCCAGGAGGTTGGAACTCCATCTGAGTCTCCCACACAGGTGGCAGGGTCCCAAGCACTTGGACAATTCTTTGCTACTCTCCCAGGCATATTAGCAGGGAGCAGGATGGGATGGAGCTGGAGAAGCTAGTACTCCAACTGGTACTCTTATGTGATGCTGCCATAGCATGCAGCGAGTTAACCTGCTGTGCTACAACACTGGCCCTGAAATGTAATTTCTGAGTGACTTCTTCAGCAGTAATCTGTGTCAGCAGTGTCTGCCAGTGCCACAGTTGTCTAGTCTGCATTAGCTTGTGGAGCATGTAGTATGACTTTGAAGGTGATGTGTACTTTCAAAATTATGTGTCTTTAGTCCCTGGAGAATTGGGCATATGATACACAGAATGGTCTGTCTCTTTGTCCATTCAGGTAAGCCCAAATAATGCTGGGACTTGTGGCACCTAAAGTTATGGCTCTTAGACTGCGTGAGGTGGATAGGACCTTTCTCAGATTCTCTATTTTGTGTGACTAATACTGGGGCTTATGGTACCAAGATCCCAAGTACCAGAACTGGGAAGACACAAAAGAGAGGAACTTACTCCAGTGCCACAAGTTGAATACGGGTTATTCTAATGAATGCATACTGGCAGATATCAATCTAGAGCAATAGAATGAAGGTAGATGCTTCTTTGGGTCCCAACAGAGTATGTTCAGGTGACTCTGAGGAATATAGTTCCCCCTGGGTTATAGATTAATGATCACAGCCCTGGAGTTGCAGGAAACAGTAGGGTCCCCAATCCAGCTCTCACAAGGGGAATGAGAGTTATGCTGGAGATTGTAGACTGGCAGTTAACAGCCTGAAGCCAAGGAATGCAGATAAGGCCCTCTCAATCCCACAGGTGAGTGCCAGTTACTCCCGAGACTATAGTACCAACAGCAATAGTCCTAGAGTTGAAGGCACAGAGGGGACTTCCCCTAGTTCCCACGTGGCAGGCAAAGGTGGCACTGGGGCCTGTGTTCTGGGCTCCAGGCAGCCTGTGGTAAAAGCTGCAGAAGGGGGTTGGTGAACAGCCCCAAGAAACCCAGGGGGAACTTGATCAAGCAAGTATAGCGCCATGGCTGTGCCCAGAGCTCCTGCATTAGGTCTGCGGAACTCTCATAGCTAAGGCTGCCTCACTACAGCAATATAGGGGGTTGTGACACTTTCTGCTTACCTCTTCCTGGCAAGATGACATCTCCTTACAGGCCAACTGGGGAAAGGGTGGTGGATGTTGGCACTGGGTGGCATGCTTCATGTCCCTCTTTCTACGGGCCCTCAGAGTCTCTGTGGTGTTAGCAGATCTTGCCATTTTTTAATCGAAGTTTTTCAATTAGTCTCCTCAATTCTAATGTTGGATATATAGAATCCTTTTGCTGGCAAGGTGGCATCCCTCAGCTGGGGAGCCAGGTAGGAGCTATGGGTAGTGACAGTGGGCAGCAGTAGTGGCATGCATTGTATTTCTCTCTCTGCTCCTTTGTGGGGTCTCTATGCCATTTGCAGTTCTTGTCACTTCTGCACTGAAGTATTCCTTCAGTCTCCTCAGTTCTAATATTTTATATATAAAACCCTTTTCCCAGCAAGACAGCACCCCCGGAAGGGGTGATGTGGTAGGAGTGGCAGAAGCAGTGGTGTGCTCTCTCTCTCTCCCTCTCTCTTCTGTTTTTCGAAGTTCCCATGCCATTTACTGCTCCACTCGTTTCTTTGCTAAAGCTTTCCCTCAGTCAAGGTACTGGAAATGCAGTTCTTCCACTTTTTCTGAAACTTTTTTTCTAGCTGAGGTGGATAAAGATCCTCTCTATTAAGCCATCTTGATCCCTCCTTCATCGTGACTTTTTTTATTTGACAGATAGAGTTAGACAGTGAGAGAGAGAGAGACAGAGAGAAAGGTCTTCCTTCTGTTGGTTCACCCCCCAAATGGCCAGCACAGCTGGCACTGCGGATCTGAAGCCAGAACCCAGGTGCTTCCTCCTGGTCTCCAATGCGGGTGCAGGGGCCCAAGGACTTGGACCATCCACCCCTGTCTTCCCAGGCGACAGCAGAGAGCTGGACTGGAAGAAGAGCAACCAGGACTAGAACCCAGCACCCATATGGGATGCCAGCGCCACAAGCGGAGTGAACCATGGCACTGGCCCCCATAGTCTGACTTTTGGGAAAGTTTCCTTCAAGTTTTGGGCAGCAGTGGTCCTAGTCTACAAATTGCACATACTTCACCTGGGAAGGGACAATTGCTACATGGTGACACCTGCAGGTCCCAGTCACAAACTCACCTGAAGGTCTCCCAGATGTCCTTCCTACTTCTCTGTCCCTCACTCCATTTTCACATTTATTTCTTTTCTTTGAACACAACTCTTCAGTGCATTCAATCTCTTCCCATCCTCTGAAATATCAAAGGAAAAGACAACTTTCTCCATGCCCACCATAAAGTAGCACAGGGTAGCAGAGAAGGATGTGCAATTTGGAGCTAGAATGCCCAGGTTCAAATCTTGCCTCCTTCATCAACTGGGGATTCTAAAAGTTTCTTAACTTCTCAAAATCTTTTACTTGTACTTTTGAAAAATGAGATGAATAATAGTGTCATAGTGTGATTATGAGGGTAGAATTACACAATACTGATAAAATTGCTAAAGCAATGCCTAGTAGATAGTGTTTACTCATTATGGCTTTTTAAAAAATGAAGTTAACCCTGCTACATCTTTTTGTACATTGACATTTTCTTACTTCCTCAGAAACCATCTTCCATGCGTAGTTACCAATTTTCCCAAATAATTTCAGACTCTATCATGCATGGAAGTGATAGCCAGAGAGTACATGTTTGACCCAAAGTCATGCAAATGGGTAGTGGCAATTTTAGGCTAGAAGTCAGGCCAACTAATTTCTCAGCCAGTGAAACTACTGTGGTGTTATTATATGTCCCACCTTAACATAACTTATTTTATACCCAGTTGCTTGATCAGATGTCTTATACCATTCTGAACTACGGAATGCCTATCTGGTCAGGCTAGTCATTTGACCTGGCATTAAAGGTCCTTTGTAAAACATGTTTCCATTCAGAAATGTTTCACATTCTTCTTGTCAATAAACTATTATCAAAAAAAATTGGGGGGGGAATAAAGCTTTCTTGCATTACAATTATATTACTTTGTATATTCTGAGGTTCTATAGGATTGAGGCTGCTTTGAATCACTCCCAATTTTACCCTATGAGGTCTTACCTCTACTGAATGTCATTATTTGTTCACTGTAAATACAGGGTACAGGGCAAGTCATAAGTGAGCATGGGGTAAATTTCCATGGAATGAAGAAAGAATCAGTGGTAGAGATTCCTTAGACATGCATATTTATTTAACAAGCTTGTTCATTATCTATACTGCAGAGACTAGACAATCCTTTTAAGGGTTGGTCTGGAGATTTCAGGAAAACCTTGTTAAGAGAAATGAGTCTCAAACATTTGATTGCTCTGTGTCTGTGGAGAGAAGAGGAAAGCACACAATATGAGTTAGAACTTTTTAAGGAGGGAATATAATTATAATTGGGTAAGGATATCAGGGCTTGTTAAAAGAAACTGAACTGGCAATAGTTGAGAATGGGATCCATCAGATATTAGCCTTAAATAAGTATTAATTCTTCTGATATAGGAATTAGAGAAGTCTTCCAGAGTGTTAATGCTCTACTCCCAAGATGTACATTTCTGTATTAAAAGGCAATGTGAACAATCTGAGATCAATTCAAAGATGTAGATGATTTTATGTTTAGGAGGAGTGGTTTTGACCTTCAGTGCAAATGACTTGCCTGTGTTGCAGGGGGCACTGTATTCAGCAAAAGCTGCTTCATCTGAAAGAAACAACAGAACAGCTTGAAAATAGGAGCTGCAGAGGGACAGAGTTTTGTGAGAGGCTTTGACACATTAGGACTGCAAACTGTCCTGAGTCACAAACTACACAACTGCAGAAATGTCAGCTTTCTAGGGAAATAGGAAATTTCTACTTTTGATATCTTTGATATACTCCTAGGAGAGAATCACTGTGGGTATGTACACTTTCAGTTATCCTTCCATATTTGGTTATTTTATTCTTTCTTCTTTAAAAAGGATTTGAAATTTATTTATTGAGAGAGAGAGAGAGAGAAAGAGAGAGAGAGAGAAAGAGAGCACAAGAGAGAAATTTTCCATGGTAATTGCTGAGGCCAAAGTCTTGAATGAGCCAGGAATTCAATCCATCTCTCTTCATGTGGGTGGCAGGAGCTCAATCACTTGGGCCATGACCCAGGATCCACATTAGCAGGAAGCTGAAGTTAGGAGCTGTAACTGGGAATGAAAACCAGGCACTCCAAAGTGGGACACAGGCATCTTAATCACCTGGTTAAATGCCTGCCCCCATAAAACATCTTATATTTTTCTCCTAGTCTGAAACACGTGGCCTGTTCCTCTCCACCAATCATAATAATAGCCATATTTTAGTCTTCAACTCAAAAGTTACTTTCTTTGGTCTTAGTGTGATCACTTGGGTTTTGATTCACTCCATATCAAATCTCCTTTTATAATTACTTGTATGCTATTACTCTTCTTTATTGACTTTCATTGCTATATTATCTTTTTTTTTACAGGCAGAGTGGACAGTGAGAGAGAGAGACAGAGAGAAAGGTCTTCCTTTGCCGTTGGTTCACCCTCCAATGGCCGCTGCAGCCGGCACACCGCGCTGATCCGAAGGCAGGAGCCAGGTACTTATCCTGGTCTCCCATGGGGTGCAGGGACCCAAGTACTTTGGCCATCCTCCACTGCACTCCCTGGCCACAGCAGAGAGCTGGCCTGGAAGAGGGGCAACCGGGACAGAATCCGGCGCCCCGACTGGGACTAGAACCTGGTGTGCCGGCGCCGCAAGTGCCGCGGTGCCAGCAACTTTTAAAAGAGATTTATGTATCCTTTTGTAGCACTTGTTTGTAAAACTCTTGGAATATTTTGCATCATTGATAGTCTTATAGATCATTTTTAGAGTAGTTTTATAGGCCAAGAAGGCAAGAAAATTGTCTAGGTGACAGAATAAACTGCAAAAACAACTTAAAAATATTTACCACATTCTAATTCCTTAATTAAGAATTGGTACTTTATTTAGGATTCTTTGTACTATCTTACTCACCTGTCTCATAGTAATCATAGACTGTCACAAGTGCAGGTTTCAGGTTTCTTACAGGGATGTCTTGCAGAACAGTAAAAGAAAAGTTCAACATCTGATTGGTAACCTGAGAAAGGAAAGAGTAACACTCTAGAACCTGGGAGACCTCATTTTTTTCCTTTTACATGACTCTGTTTCATCCTCTGAGAAATAATTCTAAGTTGGCAGATCATGTTCACTTTCAACCTCACTGTGCCTCTAACTGTTCACACATGTGGTTGGAGACCAGGAGTCAAGAGTATAAAACTGAGCAACTAGAGCAGAGGGTCCAAGAGCAGTTGAGAAATTTATGTCTCTTAAATAATTAAAGTAATCCATATACCCCCATAATGTCCAAAGAATGACTCAGTCCATAATAAGAGATCAATTATTTTTAATGTCAGATTGACTCTAAACATATTAATATGTACAAATTATTCAGGAAGCAGACATTCCTTGGGGTGGGGTTCTTGTTTTGCTCATGAATTCAATGCATTATATTATAATAAAACTTTGATTAATATATAGAGAGTGATAGCATACTTGCCATATCCATGTATATTGTCTATAGATAATCTATCTTCTAATTTTTCACACACATATATGTTTAGGTCTGTTGATATAATCACCAACCAACCCTGGGAATGCTTTCTGTCCTTAATCATCACCTCTCGATGTGGCTTCTAGATGATCAGGCTTGTTGAAAAGGGTGTAAGCAGAAATACTCATATTCTCATTTTATTATAAACAGTGCATACCCACTAGCTTCCCTTCATTCTCAGGGAAGCATGCACTGAGGAGAGAGAATTGAAAATATCATCTAGTGAGAACAGAGGGGATGTATGCACTTTCTCACAGTCATTCTTATGACTGATCTTCACATGCCATATGCCTCTCACCTAGAAAGATCAGTAACCTGAGTGTTTTTAGGGAGTCGGTGGGGCTCTCACCTGTTCCAAATAAATCAAGACATTGTTGTTGCTCACTTCTGCCCTGCTCACATGGTTAGATCTTGTAAGCTGAGGAAAAGTAGAGAAATCACCAATGTTACTGATAAATGAAGCCTCTGAGGTTTAAAGAGACGAATGTCCTATCAGACTGAATTCAATAGAAAAATGAATCCAAGATTAAACTTCCCTAAAAGAGTTTGTCTGGTAAAATGAAAATATAGTAAAGAAAATTGTTACTAACACTACATTAGATACAAAAGTTTGACTAAGTCATAGATATTTTTGACTTTTGCTTGAAGATAAAAGAGAAGTATCCTCAAGTTGGATAGTTACTCCTCTGAGATTAGATATGATGATATATTTCTTTACTCTAACTGACATTGATTTCAGTTTTCTCTAAATTTTCACAGAATAAAGACTATAACAGCAATTTTGATATTTGATGCTATCTAACCTTGAGATGTTATTTAACAGTTTCAAATTTCCATTTGCTCTATCCTTAAGTAGAATACAGGATTAATTGATTTACACACGATTGTTATATTTCTTTGTATTGACACCTAGCACAATGTTAAATGTATACTTGGTATCGTGTAAGTTCAATGTTCTTAGATTAGGACCAGTGTTCCTTTGATACAGGTTGACATCAATAAAATTGATGGAACAAAGACAGTAAGCCTCAGCTGGTCTTGCTCACTGCCCAAAAGATCCACAAACATTGGAATTAATTCCTTCCCCTTGAGTTTCAATTGGGTCTCATACCCTATTGCCTTCATACCCTGCCCAGCATTCTTTTCCAGGTTCCCAAGGCCCTACCCCATTGCAGGAATCTACCTTTGCCTGCTGCCTCCTACTGCCACCCCCATTCTTAGCCCTTCTAAAATATAAAAAGGCCCGGCCAGCCCCTGGGGGTCAGGGCCTTCTGCCACATGTTCCAACCTGTGCACACTGGCAGTTGGTCACCCACCTCTGCAAATTTATTTTCTCTGAGTAAATTTGGCCTGGCTGTAAATTCACACACTGCCTCCTCTCTATTCTGTGCCTGTTTTCCTAACAAGAATGCTATGGCTATGGTCTTAAACTGGGGACATGGGAAGCCCAGTATGTATGTAGTGTCTACTTACCATTTTCACTGTTGGTTTCAATGGGATGAAACCAGATATCATTTTTATATCAACAATCACCATGTTGGAGACTTGACGGCTTCCTATGTAACTATAGATACAAAAAGGAAAGAGATACATTTCACTCTATTTTGAATCCTATCTTCTTTTAAGTTCCAGAATGAGTTGTAAAATTTTATCATAAGTTTTCTAATAATCCTTAGGACCTTCCATCCCTGGAAATAGGTAGCCTTTACTGCCAATATGAGTGATTCTCAAAGCATTCCAAACACACCTACAGGATTTCATTAAAACGTAAAAAGCAAAACAAAAGAAAAGAGCCAAAAACAAAAATAGATGCCCAAGCACAGATCTCGAAATAATTAATTGAACCTCTGAGAGAGTCTGCATTTTTAAACAAATTGTACAGAGTATGCTAACCAGAGTTTGGAATCTCTAGTGTATGCCATTTCTTTGCAACTTACATTATTAATATTAATCATGATCTTTTTCTTCATGTGAAAATTATCTTCATAACTAACCTATCATATTCCTTTAGGTAAGAGACCATATCTCTGTTCATATTCTAGGTAGCTTCTTGAATATAATTTATCTTAATAGGTTTTGCTTTTATGAAATATATTGAACTTATTTGTCTGTTGATGGTTGATCAAATTGTGAACATTATTTTCTCTTTTCATTCTAAGATGCATCAGATGTTGTACTCTTGTTCTATTCCCAGTAGAGCTATGAAGAATGTTATTAAATCTTACAGAATTTTAATAGAACAGGAAGACTTTGCACTAGAGATAAAGAAGGATGAGCCATGTTTTAGAGTTATTGAAAAGAATTATTTGTTTTTCAACAATGAAAGTGGGTACTAAGAGCCTTGGAGGCAGATTAATTAGGGTTTATAAACCTACTAATTCTTCACTGTACACAGTGGGGAAGCAATTTTAATGAATAAGGCAAAAACTTTATGAGTTAATTTAAGTATACTTGAGGAGTTCTTGGTAGCTGATAGTCTCACAGCTACATAATAGAGACAGATATTCTTACCTGACATTTATTGATATCTGGAAGCTTGTGTGGGCTTTGGGTCCATCACAGGTGGGGGGTGTAGTCTGTACTTGGAGATCGAATGCAGATTCTTTCTTCTCCAAGAAAACATTGTATTTCAGAGCTGTCTGTTGGATTGATAGATACAAAGTAATTATCTCCAGTCCACGGCATCCCTTAAACTGACACCATTTCATTTCTCTTGACTTGCTCTTTCTTTGTGAGGGTCATAATAAATTGAGATTCCATTTCCAGGAGAGGGTTACAGTTGAATATTTTCAATTTCTCCCGAGTCTTACCTGAATATACACACATCCTTCTCCTGACACTGTTATGTCATACTCTCCAGGAAGGTCTGGCAATGAGACCTGCTGTAATAACAGGCGATTACTGTTTTCTACTTGGAAGTTTGTCGAAAATGTTCCCAAAGACTGGATGGCCACTTTCACTGTCTCGGTTCTAGCAAAAGTAGCTGCTCCATATCTGGACAAAGCATGGAGAGCCACCACCGTGTCCTGAAAGAAATTAGTGTAAAAATCCAAGATAATGTCATCTTTTAGGGGCATGAACCTTCCAGAGTCCATTTTTACAATTATAAATGTGGAGCAGCCGGAGCGGCCGAAGCCGCGGGAGCCGCAGAGTCTGTGCACCAGCACTGGAAGGGGAGGAGGAAAATTGAAGAAGCTCAAACTGCCTCAGTAAAACTTGAGCAAACATCAATCTCTGGAGTTAAGACTTTGGTGGACCTGCGTGGAGAGCATGGAAGCCCACAGTTTGGGACGCCAGTGGCAGACTCCACACACCAGCACTGGAACGCGAGGTGAGCCGAAACTCAATAGCCTGAGACACCGGCAGGCAAGCAGAAAGAGGAGACTAGAGGGAATGACCCAGTGGGGAAAAGTTCACTAGGCTACTAGAAGAGAGAGAGAGAGAAAAAAAAGTGACCAATACGCACACGAGTTTCTCTCCACTCACCTCTCAAAGGTGAGCAAGACAAAGAGCAGGCACCATCTTGGACATATGTAATAAGCAGGGTGACCTCAGGTCTGCACTGGCCCTGAGCCCAGCAGAAAATCCTGACTCTGCGGGGGGGGTGGTGGTGGTGGTGGTGGTGAATTAACAGGAGATTAGGACACAGTGAATGTGTGGTGCAACTGAACTGAGACTGTGAAAAAAACAGATGGTGGGGGAGAGAACTCACGGAATTCACGTGAGTAGTCTCCAGAGACACTACAATTCGGTAACCTTGGCAACCCAGTGGGAGACTGCAGGAGGAGAATTGGAGCCCACACTGAGGGCAGAACAGATTCCCCGTGTGGTCCTTGGAAAAGAGCTTCCAATCTCTGGCTCCTGTGGATAGATCATTTGCCTGCTAACTACCTCCAATTCTGTTCAGCTGTGCGGAATTACTTCCCTTTTGAATCAAAAAAAAAAAAGAAAGAAAGAAAGAAAGAGAGATTTACCATGCCTAACCTGGGAGGGTCACCTTTGGCACACCCTTAACCTTGAGGAACCAAACAGAGCTCTCAGGCCACACTCATCTCAAGCCTCTAAGGCTCCATCAAAAACAGACAGTCCACTTAATCTAGAGTCATAGTATAACAAGAAAAAACACCACAGTGAAGAAACCAAAGAATATCTCCAATATGCCAAACAAACACAAAAACAGAGGTAATAAGAACAAGGAAGACACTATGATGCCCCCAAATGAAAAAGACACCCCAATTCAAGATTATAAAGATGATGAGATAGAAGAAATGCAAAAAGTGGATCTCAAAAAATTGATAAGAACATTAAGAAGTTCTCAAAAACAAATTCTTGAACTACAGAAATCCTTAATGGACAAGATAGAAAATCTTTCTCTCGAAAATGAAATATTAAGGAGGAATCAAAATGAAATGAAACAACTAGTAGAACATGAAACTGTGATAGTGGTGAGAAATCATAATGAAATGAAGAATTCAATAGATCAAATGACAAACACATTAGAGAGTCTTAAAAACTGAATGGGTGAAGCAGAAGAGAGAATATTGGACTTAGAAGACAGACCACAGGAAAGGATATAGTCAAGCCAAAGAAAAGAAGAGGAAATTAGAAATCTAAAAAATATTGTGGGGAATCTACAGGAAACTATTAAAAAAACCAACATTCGGGTTCTAGGAGTTCCTGAAAGCATGGAGAGGGAGAAAGGAGTAGAAGGCCTTTTTAGTGAGATAATAGCAGAAAATTTCCCGGGTTTGGAGAAGGACAGAGACATCCTAGTACAGGAAGCTCATGGAACCCCTAGTAAACATGACCAAAAGAGATCCTCACCATGACACATTGTAATTAAACTCACCACAGTGAAACAGAAAGAAAAGACCCTAAAATGTGCAAGAGAGAAACATCAGATTACTTTCAGAGGATCTCCAGTTAGACTCACAGCAGACTTCTATCAGAAACCCTACAAGCTAGGAGGGAATGGCGAGACATAGCACAGGTACTAAGAGAGAACAACTGCCAGCCCAGAATATTATATCCTGCAAAGCTCTCATTTGTGAACGAAGGTGAAATAAAGACCTTCCATAGCAAACAAAAATTGAAAGAATTTGTTGCCACTCGTCCAGCCCTGCAAAAGATGCTTAAAGATGTGTTGCACACAGAAACACAGAAACACGGTCATCAATATGAAAGAAGGTAAAGGAAGGAAACCTCACAGCAAAAGATCACAGGGAATTCAAAGCATATATTAGAAAATATCTTTGGCAAATGGCAAGGGCAAAGTTACCACTTGTCAATAGTCACATTGAACGTTAATGGCCTGAACTGTCCAGTTAAAAGACTGGCTTAAGGAACAAAACCCATCTATTTGCTGCTTACAAGAAACACATCTTTCCAATAAAGATGCATACAGACTGAAAGTGAAAGGCTGGGAAAACATATACCATGCCAACATTAATGGAAAAAGAGCGGGCGTAGCCATCTTAATATCGGACAACATAAACTTTACCACAAAAACTGTTACAAGAGACCAAGAGGGGCACTATATAATGATTAAGGGTTCAATTCAACAGGAATATATAACAATTATCAATGTATATGCACCTAATTACAGGGCACCGGTTTATTTAAAGGATTTCTTAAGGGACTGAAAGGGAGACTTAGACCCCAGTACAATAGTACTGGGGGACTTCAATACTCCACTCTCAGAAATAGATCAACATGACAGAAGATCAACAAGGAGACAGTAGATTTAAATGACACTATAGCCCAAATGGATCTAACAGATATCTACAGAACTTTTCATCCTACACAGAATGCATTTACATTCTTCTCAGCAGTACATGGAACCTTCTCTAGGATTGACCACATACTAGGCCATAAAGCAAGTCTCAGCAAGTTCAAAAGAATTATAATCATACCATGCAGCTTCTCAGACCATAAAGGAATGAAGTTGGAAATTAGCAACTCAGGAATCCCTAGAGCATAGGCAAACACATAGAGCTTGAACAACATGCTCCAAAATGAAAAATGGGTCATAGAAGAAATTAAAACAGAAATCAAAAATTTTCTGGAAGTAAATGAGGATAACAGCACAACATACCAAAACTTATGGGACGCAGCAAAAGCAGTGTTAAGAGGAAAGTTTATATCAATAGGTGCCTACATCAAGAAATTGGAAAGGCACCAAATAGATGAGCTTTCAATTCACCTCAAGGATCTAGAAAACCTACAGCAAACCAGACCCAAATCTAGTAGGAGAAGAGAAATAATTAAAATCAGAGAAGAAATTAACAGGATCGAATCCAAAAAAAAAAAATACAAAAAATAAGCCAAGCAAAGAGCTGGTTTCTTGAAAAAATAAACAAAATTGACACCCCATTGGCCCAACCAACTAAAAAAAGAAGAGAAAAGACCCCAATCAATAAAATCAGAGATGAAAAAGGAAACGTAACAACAGACACCACAGAAATAAAAAGAATCATCAGAAATTATTACAAGGACTTGTATGCCAGCAAACAGGGAAACCTATCAGAAATGGATAGATTCCTGGACACATGCAACCTACCTAAATTGAACAAGGAAGACATAGAAAACCTAAACAGACCCATAACTGAGACAGAAATTGAAACAGTAATAAAGGCCCTCCCAACAAAGAAAAGCCCAGGACCAGATGGATTGACTGCTGAATTCTACCAGACATCTAAAGAAGAACTAACTCCAATTCTTCTCAAACTATTCAGAAGAATCAAAAAAGAGGGAATCCTCCCAAATTCTTTCCATGAAGCCAGCATCACCGTAATTCCTAAGCCGGAAAAAGATGCAGCATTGAAAGAGATTTACAGACCAACATCCCTGATAAACATAGATGCAAAAATCCTCACTAAAATTCTGGCCAATAGAATGCAACAACTCATCAGAAAGATCATCCACCCAGACCAAGTGGGATTTATCCCTGGTATGCAGGGATGGTTCAATCTGCGCAAAACAATCAACGTGATACACCACATTAACAGACTGCAGAAGAAAAACCATATGATTATCTCAATAGATGCTGAGAAAGCATTTGATAAAATACAACACCCTTTCATGATGAAAACTCTAAGTAAACTGGGTATGGAAGGAACATTCCTCAATACAATCAAAGCAATTTATGAAAAACCCATGGCCAGCATCCTATTGAATGGGGAAAAGTTGGAAGCATTTCCACTGAGATCTGGTACCAGACATGGATGCCCACTCTCACCACTGCTATTCAATATAGTTCTGGAAGTTTTAGCCAGAGCCATCAGACAAGAAAAAGAAATTAAAGGGATACAAATTGGGAAGGAAGAAGTCAAACTATCCCTCTTTGCATATGATATGATTCTTTATTTAGGGGATCCAAAGAACTCTACTAAGAGACTATTGGAACTCATAGAAGAGTTTGGCAAAGTAGCAGGATATAAATCAATGCACAAAAATCAACAGCCCTTGTATACACAGACAATGCCATGGCTGAGGAAGAACTTCTAAGATCAATCCCATTCACAATAACTACAAAAACAATCAAATACCTTGGAAGAAACTTAACCAAGGACGTTAAAGATCTCTACGATGAGAATTACAAAATCTTAAAGAAAGAAATAGAAGAGGATACCAAAAAATGGAAAAATCTTCCATGCTCATGGATTGGAAGAATCAACATCATCAAAATGTCCATTCTCCCAAAAGCAATTTATAGATTCAATGCAATCCCAATCAAGATACCAAAGACATTCTTCTCAGTCTAGAAAAAATGATGCTGAAATTCATATGGAGGCACAGGAGACCTCGAATAGCTAAAGCAATCTTGTACAACAAAAACAGAGCTGGAGGCATCACAATACCAGATTTCCGGACATACTACAGGGCAGTTGTAATCAAAACAGCATGGTACTGGTACAGAAACAGATGGATAGACCAATGGAACAGAACAGAAACACCAGAAATCAATCCAAACATCTACAGCCAACTTATATTTGATCAAGGATCCAAAACCAATCCCTGGAGTAAGGACAGTCTATTCAATAAATGGTGCTGGGAAAATTGGATTTCCACGTGCAGAAGGATGAAGCAAGACCCCTACCTTTCACCTTACACAAAAATTCACTTAACATGGATTACAGACTTAAATCTACGACCCAGCACAATGAAATTATTAGAGAGCATTGGAGAAACTCTCCAAGATATAGGTACTGGCAAAGACTTGTTGGAAAATACCCCAGAAGCACAAGCAGTCAAAGCCAAAATTAACATTTGGGATTGCATCAAATTGAGAAGTTTCTGTACTTCAAAAGAAACAGTCAGGAGAGTGAAGAGGCAACCAACAGAATGGGGAAAAATGTTCGCAAACTATGCAACAGATAAAGGGTTGATACCCAGAATCTACAAAGAAATTAAGAAGCTCCACAACATCAAACCAAACAACCCACTTAAGAGATGGGCCAAGGACCTCAATAGACATTTTTCAAAAGAGGAAATCCTAATGGCCAACAGACACATGAAAAAATGTTGAAGATCACTAGCAATCAGGGAAATGCAAATCAAAACCACAATGAGGTTTCACCTCACCCCAGTTAGAATGGCTCACATTCAGAAATCTACCAACAACAGAAGCTGGAGAGGATGTGGGGAAAAAGGGACACTAACCCACTGTTGGTGGGAATGCAAACTGGTTAAACCACTATGGAAGTCAGTCTGGAGATTCCTCAGAAACCTGAATATAACCCTACCATTCAACCCAGCCATCTCACTCCTTGTAACTTACCCAAAGGAATTTAAATTGGCAAACAAAAAAGCGGTCTGCACCTTAATGTTTATTGCAGCTCAATTCACAATAGCTAAGACCTGGAATCCACATAAATGCCCATCAACAGTAGACTGGATAAAGAAATTATGGGACATGTACTCTATACAATACTATACCACAGTAAGAAACAATGAAATCCAGTCATTTGCAACAAGATGGAGGAATCTGGAAAACATTATGCTGAGTGAATTAAGCCAGTCCCAAAGGGACAAATATCATATGTTCTCCCTGATCGGCGTCAACTAACTGAGCAGCAAAGGGGAAACCTTTTGAAATGAAATGGACACTATGAGAAACAGTGACTTGATCAGCTCTTGTCCTGACTGTTGATGTACAATGTAATACTTTATCCACTTTAGTATTTTCTCTTTGTTTTGTTCTAGTACTATTGGTTAAACTCTATGATTAACACTCAATTATTCTTAGCTGTTTAAATTTTAACTGAAAAGTGATCCCTGTTAAATATAAGAGTGGGAATAAGAGAGGGAGGAGATGTACAATTTGGGACATGCTCAATCGGACTTGCCCTAAATGGTGGAGTTAGAATCATTCCAGGGGATCCCAATACGATCCCATGAAAGTGGCATGTACCAGTGCCATCTCACTAGTCCAAGTGATCAATTTCTGTTCACAATTGATCACACTGATAGGTCTAAGAGTCAAAGGGATCACACAAACAAGTCTAGTGTCTAACACTAGCTGATAGAATCAAAAAGGGAGAGAACAATCCATCATGGGAAGCAGGATACACAGTAAACTCATAGAATGGCAGGTGTCCTAAATAGCACTCTGGCCTCAGAATCTGCCCTTAAGGCATTCGGATCTGGCTGAAGAGCCCATGAGAATATTTTAGGCATGGAACGCCAAGACACCCTGGAAAAAAAAAAAAAAAGGAAGACCTAAATGGAAGATCTCTGTGAGTGAGATCCCAGTGGAAAGAATGGGGCCATCAAAGAAAGAGGTACCTTTCTCTGAAGGGAGGAGAGAACTTCTACTTTGACTATGACCCTGTCGGAATAAGATCGAAGTCGGCGAACTCAAAAGGCTTCCATAGCCTTTGCAACTCATGACTAGAGCCTAGGGAGATTACTGATGTCATAAACAAGAGTGTCAAATTGTTAAGTCAACAACATGAGTCACTGTGTACTTACTTCTCATGTGGGATCTGTCTTTAGTGTGCTGTCCAATATGAAGTAATGCTATAACTAATACTGAAACAGTATCTTACACTTTGTGTTTCTGTGTGGGTGCAAACTGATGAAATCTTTACTTAATGTATACTGAATTGATCTTCTTTTTTTAACTTTTATTTAATGAATATAAATTTCCAAAGTACAGAATATTGATTACAATGGCTTCCCCCCATAACGTCCCTCCAACCCGCAACCCTCCCCTTATCCACTCCCTCTCCCCTTCCATTCATATCAAGATTCATTTTCGATTCTCTTTATATACAGAAGATCAGTTTAGCATTCATTAAGTAAAGATTTCAACAGTTTGCTCCCACACAGAAACTGAAATGATCTTCTGTATATAAAGATAATTGAAAATGAATCTTGATGTGAATGGAATGGGAGAGGGAGCGGGAGATGGGAGGGGTGTGAGTGGGAGGGAAATTATGGTGGGGGGGAAGCCATTGCAATCCATTCACTGTACTTTGAAAATTTATATTTACTAAATAAAAAATTAAAAAAAGAAAAATTCAAAATTTAAAAAAATAAGTAATTCTTAAATAATAACATGAAGAAGAGCTTTATAATTCTAGTTTTCTCAATGGTTTCTCACTCTCTTCATTAGTAACATTCTGTGAGCATGTACTTTACACCCCAGAATATCTTTCTTTTTAGATACCTTCTTGTTTTTCATTAAAATGGCACAGTGCTGTCCTTCAGATAGTAGGACTGGCAAAAGGAAAAACAAGCACATGGAGTGGGCTCCATTTCACCAAGCATCTCTGAAGGTAAGTTCTGCCATGGATGCTCAGAATACTTGCAGTAGAATTTATAGGTATTCCGTTAGAGTTTTAGAAGTAATATTTTCTAAGGTTACATGTGGCTGGATGATACAGTCAATGGTTAATAATCCTGATTGACCCCCGATGGTGGGAGGTGAAGAGCGGAAGCATGAGTTTCTATTATTTGGAGAAAACTTAAAAGGGACCTATGAATAAATAAGGAGAAACTTTTAGCAGAGGAGGGAAAGAAGGTGCAGACTGGAGCACCGGGAACATAAAGCAGTAAATGTTCATACATCATTTCTTAGACAACTCATCCCTCTGGTTCAGTTTAAGGGATCACTTGTAGTATTATAGGCATTCCAGACTTTTTTGATTTTTTGCCATTGTTCACAATCCAAGGTTTGGTTACCACATAAAAAGGTCTGAGGGGACAACCCTGCTTCAATAAGTAAGGTATAAGAGTACTCCAGTGGGCTAGAATAGGGATTGGGGTGAGTTACTGAAGTGTTTTAGGTTCTTTTCCTTGTTTCTGACAGACTCAAAATACTCATCAATAGCCTTTCATGTCCTTTTCTTTCTTACCCTTTCTCTTACTATTACTCATTTATTTTGTTCATTCCTCCCAACTGCACCCTGACTCTACAGGACAAGAATGTTGTGGAACCACAGACCTGGGTGGAGGAGAAGCCGCCGTGGGCGTTCTGCTGCTTTGTGATCCACTTCACAATGAGCTTTGCAGTAGTCAGGTCCTCTGAGGCTGGGGCAGGCCAGGCAGTGAGGTGAGCAAGGAGCACATAGGACGTCATCTCCACCTCAGCAGAGGGAGCCCGGGGGTGGAAGAAATGGCCCTCTGACGACTTGGGTTTCTGAGGTCGCTCCCAGTGAATTGAATCATCTTAATGATAAGAATAACGCAAGAATGAAAATCATTAATATTTCATGCATGACTCTAAAAGCCTATGCTTTTATTTAGAAAGAAATAACAAAAGCTGAAGTAAGGGGTTTTTTTTTACATCAATCAAAATATCTCTAAATTTATTAATCCAGAAATTAATCCAGAATAAATTGCAAACTTGATAAGATCAAGTGTGGTTGATCAAAACATTGAGGACAGAGATTTATAAGACATGAAGCAAACTATTCTCAAATATTATTTTTGTAGGATTAATAAGGAAAAAATAGCTGATATGATTCCCTCTTTGACTCCCTCACCTACACCCTAAATTTATTAGGTCAATATTTTTATTTGAAGTTAAATATAAAACCTACCAATTTATTTTAGGGAGTCGTAATAGAACTTGTAAAACATGAAAACTACTATTATAGATGACCACTTATCTGCTACAGCCCTTAGTATCTCAAACGACCCTGACTTGTATTCATATATCATAAAAAAGTATAAATATGAACTACACTTGTCTTTGTAAGGAGAGATTGATAGCCCTGAAGTCTCCTATATTATTATTTTTATTGATATTGTTCTCTATATAACAAAATATTCCAGAGAAGGCATGGGGATTTAGGGAGTGTTAATCTCCCAATGGGTGATTCTGCATGTGAATCTCAGCATTTCATAGGGGTATAGGCCAAAAGAAGATTCTTTTCAGGAATTCAAAAATCTTCCCCTTTTCCCTTGAGTGGAAGTAGGTGGGGCAAAAAATATTAAAATATGCTCTCACCTTCCTTTATAGCTTCCTCATCAAGTGACTTGAGTACTTCATTCCTTCGGCCCTGGTTACCTGCCAGGGCAAAAGCATAGGCCAACAGTGCCTTGGTGTAGACGTGGCTGCCATTGGTCTTTTCCTGTGCTGTGTTCCAGGCTGACTCTAGGCAAAACAGGGCATTGCGAACCACAGGGTCCTGTGAAGGGAGAACAGGGTACCTTCAGCTATGTTAAAGACTCTAGGATAGGAGGTAACAATGCGTTTGAAAACTACTTTCTCTCTCTCTCTTCCTCCATCCATTCACCAGCCATCTTTTTAGAAATCACCCCCCCCCCCCATTAGGATCCCATTAAATGAAACTGATAATTGTGCGACCAGGGGCCATGTGTTTCTGATTAGTTTTGGCACTTGATCCTGGATTTTATTGAACAAGTAGTTTCTTTTTGGTGGAATTAGGCAGATGCATAATGACATGCAAAGGGAAAAGTTGTCACTTGGCTTGGAGAGGAGTGGTATTATAACCCTAATTCAGTAGATTCCATAGCAGTTGGAAAACTGGAGAAATATGTGATACCCACAGTGACTGGGAGAGGAATTTCCAGAAGGGCAATGGTGATATAGGCAGAGAGGGTCACTTCATCATCTACTCCACCCTGTAAATGTAAGAGAGGGAAAGGGAGATAAATTCCACTTTCAGAAACCCTTCAAAAGTTTCTTCTCTTCTGATGGCCAATCTTCTATGAGTCTTTGGAATTTATTCTCATCCATATATTCACTGTACAAAGCACACTTCCCACCTAGGTCCCATTTCTTTCTCCTCAGTGGTATGCAGGTTTATCTCCCTACCCTATTGCTCTCCTATACTTTCCAGTCCTTTCCTTTAAGAATTCCCTTGCCACTTCTCCTTAGATGCTTTCATCCTTCAAGAAATTGCCATGGGTTAGGGATTCAGCAGGTTTATGACTAGTTCAGAAAATAAATCACCTGCTTGGGGGCTGGTTTTGTGGTGCAGCAGGTTAAGCTGCCACCTGTGATGTTGGCATTCTATATGAGCAGCGTTTCTACTGTAGCTGCTCTACTTCTGATCCACCTCCCTGCTAGTGTGTCTGGGGAAGCAGCAGTAAATGGTCCACGTGCTTGGGCCCCTGCCATCCATGTGGGAGACTCAAATGGAGTTCCAGGCTGCTAGCTTTGGCCTGGTTCAGCCTTGGACATTGTAGCCATTTGGGGAGTAAACCAGAGAATGGAAGATCTCTCTTTCTCCCTCTGTCTTTCCCCACCACCACACTCTCTGCAACTCTGCCTTTTAAAAAAATAAATAAATCTTTTAAAAAACAGAGCAATCACCTTCATGGCATTGTTGAAGAGATTCCCAGAACTCCTGAAACAGCCATCGTCCTTTTGCTTCTGAGAAAGCCAAGTGAGGGCTTGGGTAATGTGTGCTTTGTCAATGAAGGCAAAGGGTTGTGCTTGGGCAAAACTCTTGAGCACAAAGGCTGTGAGCCTGGTGGAGAGAGAAAAGTGATTGTTGGAGTTATTTGTTGTCATGCAGCACCTTCACATGCCCAAGCTTCATCGCAGGGCACCCCACAAGACTCGTGAGTCAGTATGAGATGATCTGAATGTGTGGGGCTGGGCAGTATCTGTTTGCTACCCCAAGACACTATTCTCTTTCTCTGGGCTCTGCCTGCCAATAATCCATTGCCAACTTGTTTCAAGTGCTTCCTGATTTACTTCCAGTTTGTTTTAGGTGCTTAGACTTGGCCTTACTTGTTCATTTGGTTGACTTACACACTCATGTTAGGTTTTATCCCTTCCATTGATTTTCTATGTAGATGAGAAAACCCTTCTATTCTAAAGTTCCTGCTATATAGGCTAACCTTGTGGAAATATTTTTTTTTTTGGCCAGGAAACACTAACTAAAAACTAAATATAAGCCCTTTCCCCTGCCTTCCTTCCTGTCCCTTCTACCAGCCTCCTTTACATGTGTTGTCTCTTACTTGCCTATGTATTTTACCTCAGAAGAATAGTATTATTTAATGCAAGGAGGTACTAGGAAGAAAGGCTTTTCTAGTCTCAGTTTCTAGCATTTCTGGATGTGTAAAAATACCTTATGTGTGGCCATTTAAAAAAAAACTTGTAATGAGTATTAGAGATATATAACAAAGAATAGCTTACTGTATTCAGTGAAAAATATATTTTGAAATTAAAGCAGATAAACCCTGAGATAAGTCTCAGCTCTGCCACTTATTCATGCAACCTAGAGATGGCACTAGGCACAATTTTCTACCTCTGTAAAAAGAGGCCCATACTGTCTAATTCATAGAGTTGCCATGAGGAGCAAGAGTTGTACAGGTCTGGCCGATAGTACCCTTTCATTACCAAGTGTTGCCTTCATCATTGCCATTTTTGTCTCCAAAGGCGCTGTAGGAGCCATCTTTGTGTTTGTAGTTCAGCTGTTTCTGATAACCTGAGATGGAAAGTTTCAGATGGTTCATGAAATATCAGTGACATATCAGAGAAAGATGGGATCCTCCTATGTTTAGACTAATGCCAGAAAAGCCACCCATGTGCCCTGGCCTCTCTTCAATGCAGGGCCCTCCAAGAACCCATTGAATGTGAAGCCTACTTGTGGAAGGAATATTTACAATCAGAAAGTGAAGTGTCTGCTCCTTACTCACCAGCATTGAGAAAGTTTATGGCCTTGGACTTGAGCTCTGGAGTCAGTTGGTGGGTTTCATTCAGATATTTCAGTACATAGATATTAGGAGCAAAAAGGGCAATGTTCTGTTCACCACAGCCATAGGGCATCTGGAGGAGACTGTGTGTGTTTTTTATAGGAGAGCCTAAAATGTCACCTGAGAGCGAAAGAGGAGAAGTCAAAACAATCATAAATGAACAGAATCATGAATCAATATTTAGAGTCATTTCTAAAAGTCAGCAGATTTGAAGGAACTAGAATTTGAGAGGAAGGTCAGGTATACTGGAAGCCAAGTAGAGTGAGGAAAAGTTAGAGATATGAGCAAGAAGTCGAAAAATTGAAGTACTGTGAAAAATTATATTTGGAAAAATACAATAGGAGTGGTGGTGGCAGTGGCTGTCTCAAATCCTCTGGGGACTGAATGACTCACCCAAAACAGAGACAGAGGCTCTGGCTGATTCTTTCACTACTCCTGGTGGAAGCTTCAGGGCCAATTTTTCTGATACCCCAGCATCTTGGTAAACAAACAAATCAGATTCATAAAAGATTATCTTTGATGTTGGTATTTCTGAAAAGTCCTAAGGAGAGTGGTTTTAGCAGTGAATATTAAACTTGGAATTCATGCCTCCTTAATACTCCAAATTTAGATTTCTTGGTACTGAGGGGTTTGCTAACCTATGCCTCTTTTTTTATTAACTGATTACATTGAATAGTACGGCAACTGCACCAAAGAAGACTCCAAGTTTTCTTAGGTTTTTTGAAGTCTCCTTAAATGTAATGTGGACTGATACGAGATTGTATTTCTTTGCCTCAAATTTTAGCTATGTACAAATGTATACTTAACACATCAGAGGAAGTAAGCAAGTAAATCAATGGTGGGTACTTGGCATTTTTCAGGGGTTTTCTCTGTGTGGCTGTGATATCAGTAGATTTTAGTAACTACTCAGGAATCATTTTCTTGGATGTTCTTGACATGGGTGTGTATGTGTTAGGAGTGGAGGAGGTTGATAGGTACATGAGTTTGTATTCATGATTATCAGGAAAATCAGAATTGAGGAATGGTAAGGGTATGCCTAGGTTTTCTATCCGAGTCACGGCACCATTATGTCGCTCCCCGTCTTCATGGGGGAACGACACAGGACCCTGCGCTGTTCTTTTGTCTGCTCGGCCCTCCCCGGGTTTGCTGCTGGTTCTTCCCGGGTTGGCTACTATCCCTTCCACCTCCGTGGAAGGGCAGTTCCCCCTGGCCGCATTCCCCACTTCCGCAGGGGAGCGGCACACCGCCGGCCGGCTTTCTCGGGGGCTGCACGGGTTCCCTTAGATGTTCCCCATAGATGTTCCTGGTGCATGCCGTCTCTCTCCTCCTTTATAGTCCTCCTCTGCCAATCCCAACTCGGCTGCCCACACGCCGAGTACGCTGCTCTCCAATCAGGAGCAAGTCCTACAGTTTATTGGTTGAACTGGAGGCAGCTGGGTAGAAGCTGTTTTCTCCTCTCCCAGCGCCATATTGTAGGAGAGCAGATGCATAGAATAAGTCTTAATTCCAGTAACTTAGTCTAGTCCGGATTGCTCCCCACATTATTCTCCAGCAGTTCCTTCATACTTTCTACCTATCACACAAAAGCCTTTTATGACTTTCAGTAATTGTAAAATAACTTTCTCAAATGTATGACGTGTAAATGTGATGCAGGTTCATCAGCTTTGTTGAAATCATTACTTCATCTTATCTCTGCTTTGTTAACTTTCTTATTATAATAGATTTAGTTCATGCATAAAACACTTTTATTCAAATGATCCATTCTTTCAACAAATATGTATTGAGCAACTGCTTTGTGCCAGTTGCTGTTCTTGGTACTGGGAACACAGTCATGAACAAGAGTAGATAGAAATCTCAGCTTTTGTTAAATTTATATTCATCTTTTATGATAAACTCCTAAAGCTTCTTTTGAAATGGTTAGTTTGGGATTATGCATACAGTAGTAAAAGAGCAATTAATACCACAAAAATGAGAGAAAATATTATGCTAACTGTATTTTCATGATTTAGTGCATTTAATGTGTGAAATGTCTTTGATTATAAAGACATAATTTTTATAAAATTAGAAATATATGTCCCTTCACCAAACATTCTATATACTTTTCCCATTAGTTTAGGTATATTTTCATTCTGACCACTTCTGCCCTTATTTGTGCTGGGTGAAGGGATTTCTATACACTTGAGAAAAGAGCTAGAAATGAGGAACTGAGATGTTCCAGGTTGAATCCTGCTTTTACTATTGATTGTGATATAAATATAGTTACGGACCTTGATGTCCTATAAGACTCAGTGACTTTATTTATTTTACAAGAGAAAGAGATACAGTGTCCTGACTTTCTCATAGGAATATTGCAAAAAAAAAAAACCAATTAGGTCATTGATGTGAAAACAAATAAGTTTGTAACTTGAAATGTTCTGGTCTTCATATTGTTGTCATGAATCACTCTTACCTGATACACAGAGTAAGGAATTGAAAGTATGTTCCATCTTGATTCCCTCGGGCTTGGGTGGAAAGAAGAAAAAGAGATCAGAATGGACTGAGCATCCAAGTAAATAAACATAATTGGAATTTTGAGAGCATGTCCATAGCTTTATTATGTGTAAAGTGATTGGTTTGAGTTAGACAATTTCTAATTTCCATTACATCAGTGAATGCCTAAAAGTTTGACATGTTTGAAATGTTGAGGAGCCTAGTTAATAGGGAAGGGAATGAGGAAGGGTAATGAAGAGAAAAAAGTGAAATTGTGGGGAGCAACTCGGACTAAGACTGTTACTGGAATTAAGACTTATTCTATGCATCTGCTCTCCCACAATATGGCGCTGGGAGAGGAGTAAACAGCTTCTACACAGCTGCCTCCAGTTCAACCAATAAACAGCAGGACCTGCTCCTGATTGGAGGAGAGCAGCGTACTCGGTGTGTGGGTAGCAGAGTTGGGATTGGTGGAAGAGGACTATAAAGGAGGAGAGAGACAACATGCACCAGGAACATCTATCTGAAGGAACACCTGTGCAGCCCCCGAGAGAGCCGGCCGGTGGTGTGCCGCTCCCCCGCAGAAGTGGGGAAAGTGGCTAGGGGGAACCGCCCTTCCACGGAGGTGGAAGGGTCGGTAGCCAACCCGGGAAGAACCAGCAGCAAACCCGGGGAGGGCCGAGCAGACAAAAGAACAGCGCAGGGTCCTGTGTCGTTCCTCCACGAAGAGGGGGAGCGACAGAAATGAATAAGGAAAAGCAACTGATACAGAATATATCTAATCCAGCTTTTAGTTAATGAGAAAATAGCTAAAAGGCAAATAGAAAAACAAAACAAAATTAGTAATTTAAGACATGAACTTGTCACATGTTGTGAAATACACAAAGTTAAAGTATTATTCCTACAATTCTATTTTACTTGAAATTATAGACAGTCAACATTGCTCCATTTTCTGGTCTCAGTAGGAGAAGTCGGGCTTACCCACCTCAACTAACAGGAGTTTGACAACTGTGTCTGACTTCTCAGTTTCAGGAACTGTAGCCATCTCATTACCACAGAGGTCTGGGGACTGTATTGCTTCTGCACTCATGGAGAAATTCACATTCCCTGAAACAAATGGCCTGCAGACATGAGCTTGGATGTGCCACGGACTTGGCATTCTTTCAGTCTCCAAGATCTATGGGGGGTGTCAAGTTCTGTGAGAAATCCATGGGCTTGCTCCTTATTTAATCTGACATGTACGTGGACAGAAGCAGCATTGACCAGTCTTCTGCTTTTGTGGCCCAAACAGGAGAACCTCATTTAAGGAGCCTTCATGCTTTCATTATCTTTGAGTACAGAGAGTCTCAGAGCACCTTCACTCACCTAGAGATGTAGGAGTTACCAACCAGGACAGAGTTTCCCTCTCATTTCCACAGAGGCAGTAAGAATCTTGTTCTTTCTGCACTGGGATAGCTGTGAAGTCAGGAGAAGCTTTCAGCTGCACACTCACCTGTAGTCCCACATGGGGAAGAGAGATAAAAGAGATGTAACTTCCAAAGGGCAACACATTTATGTACAGGATGGGGCAAGTGAGGAAGCCTGAAGTGAACCTGGGTGTTCAAAAGAGATGAGCAGTTTTTTTTTTTTTTTACAAAGTGTAGTGTTGAAAATGACACATGAGCTGAACGTATTTACATGAAAATGTTGTATGGATATTATATAATATACAAACATATGTATTTACACACATATATAGGTAAATATATTTATTTACATGTTGATTTTGGCACAAGAATGGAAGGGTAGAGAAAGCTAACTAAGGTATGCCTATCCTGAGGAAATTTCCCCACTGGCTCAGACTCATGAGAAATCTCCTTGTTTACTCTGTTGCTAGTCTAATTGAAGTTCTTTCCCTCATTTTTTTTAACCTGTATTCATTCTTTGGTTAGAGACATACATTCCAATTTTTATGTGTACAGATACTTTGGGGCTATCAGTGGCTCCTGTCAAGGTGTTTTGCTCAGCAGACACATAAGATGCTAAGAAATTGTGTTAAATATGGCTAAATGTGGGTCCAGCCCTGTGGCATGGAGGGTAAAGCTGCCACCTGCACCGCTGGCAACTCATATGGGCACCAGTTCAAGTCCTGATTGCTCCACTTCCGATTCAGGTCTCTGATATGGCTTGGGAAAGCAGTGGAAGATGGCCCAAGTGCTTGGGCGACTACACCTATGTCAGAGATCTGGAAGAAGTTCCTTCTCCTGGCTTTGGATCAGCTCAGCTCTAGCTGTGCAGCAATTTAGGGAGAGAACCAGAGGATGGAAGACCTCTCTCTCTTTTCTCTCTGTAACTCTGTTTTTCAAATAAATAAATAAATAAATAAATCTTTAAAACTAATAAATAAATATGGCTAAATGTGATGGACATTAGAAAAAAGATACAATGAAAATATCATGGAAATTTAGAGCAAGACAGGATATCCAATAATGGGATTGAACCTCACACAAAAATCTACTCAAAATGGATCGAGGACCTAAATCTATGACCTAATAAAACAAATTACTAGAAAACATTTGGGAAACTCTGCAAGAGATTGGTATAGGCAAAGACATCTTGGGAAAGACCCCAGTAGCACAGGTGATCAAAGCCAAAGTTGACAAATGGGATGCTATTAAAAGGTACCCTAATCCACTATTGGTGGGAGTGTAAACTGGTGCAGCCATTGTGGAAGATAGTAACAAGATTCCTCAGAAAGCTGAAAATAGCAATCCCACTCCTGGAAATTTACCCAAGGGAAATGAAATCAGCATATGAAAGATTTATCTGTACACCCATATTCATTGCTGCTTAATTCATGAAATAAGTAAGGTATGGAATCAACCCATATTTCCAACAACTGATGACTGGATAAATAAATTATGGCATATATACACTATAGAATACTACCCAATGTTAAAGAAAAGAAATCCTGTCTTTTGCAACAAAATGTATGCAACTGGAAATCATTATATTTAGTTTAGTAAGACAGTCCCAATAAGACAAATATCATGTTTTCCCTGATCTGTGGTAACTAATAGAGTACCTAAAATGTAATGTATTGGAGTGAAGTTCACATTTTGAGATTCCATCATTGTTTACAGTCCTTGTCTCTATTGATGAGGAACAGTATTTTTTTCCCCTTCATTGTATTTGTTGAATTCTTTACGTAGTGTGTAGGGTTAATCTTATGAGCATAAAATAAACTGCAAATAGATCTTTGTAAATTAAGAGTGGGAATAGTCATTTTGGACATGTAACAGCTGCATCAGCTCATGTCCATGTGCCCAGCAACCAGCGGAGTGAGATGCCTGAGCCTGGTTGGGAGAATTGACAAGGTCTGGGTGCCCGTAACTGGGAAAACATTGTGGCTGCATGTGAAGGTGCAGGATGTGGCTGGGTCTTTGGGCAGTCACTGTGGGAGGCTCCACATGCTTGGGACTCCCAGGAGGAAGGAGGAAGAAGGGTGGGAGCACGGGTGGGGGGAAGGGTAGGGTGGGAAGAATCACTGTTCCTAAATCTGTATATGTGGGATGAATGAAATTCATATACCTTAAATAAATGTTTTTTTTAATTAGAACACAATTCCACAGTATTATAAATAAGGGATAAAAGCCACATCAAATCAATTTTTCTTTTTCCCTTCTATCCATACTTGATTTGGGAGTCCTTACCCGTATGCATTTGGGAAGATAGTTTAATACAGTGGCCGTGAGTGTGAAGGCTTCTCCACGGATCACAGAGTACGGTAATGTGAGCTCCACAAAGAAGGGCTTGAAGGCTCGGAGAGAAGCAATGGGAGACAGACCAAGTCCAGTGTCATTGGACAGGCACAGGGCCTCTGCTTTCCACTCAGTGATGGTATCAGGAACTGTAGCTTCTACTTCAGCCATTCCTGATGAGCTGGGGAGGATGACAATGTGATGAACAGAAAGTAAGTGAGTATTAGTTATTTTTGAGACAGTAATTGATGAGTGTGATCTATTACCTTACTTCTGAGTCCTTTCAAAAGAATTAAAGAAAATGCACAGTTTAGTAAGGGCCCATGATGGAAAAATAAAAGGCATTTAAATAGTTCTGTTTCCCCTACTATGATCACATCATCCACATCACCTAAAAGTCTATACTATTGTTTGAAATCTGAATATGGATTTGAACTTGTCATTGGTACTTCCATTTCTAAAATGCAATCTGAGAAATCCATGGATTATAATTCTATAAAATGGTTTAATCCATGAAGAGTTGCCTTAAATTTATTTTTCAACACACTGTTCCTGAATATTATTAAATTTAGAAAGCTAGAGAACACACCAAGATGGCAGAATAGTAGGGAGCTTACTGCTCTAGTCTAGGGAAGATAGTTTTAAAAAATGGTGAAGAAAGCCCAATCTCAGGAAGGGTTAGTGAGAAGATGGTAGAGGAAACTTCATGCAAATTAGAGAGACACTGTGGACCTATGTGGAGGGTGTGGACACACACAACTCAGGACCCCAGCAGCCAAGAACCTCAGTACCAGCTTTAGAGAGTGCGGTGAGCCCAGACTACAGCAGCCCAAGCCATTTGTGATAAAGCTTCTGGAAGAGCCTGGCATGAGTATAGCTTGGAGCCCTGTGGGGGACAGTGTACCTGCCAACCTATAAGGAATAAAGGGGGGCATGTTTCTCTCTCCCTGACCACCAGCACTGGCATCTTGTAACTAGCTGAGAGAGGGTGGGTGTCATTTTGGACATGTAACAGCTGCACCAACTCATGTCCATGTGCCCAGCAAATAGCAGAGTGAGATGCCTGAGCCTGGTTGGGAGAATTGACAGGGTCTGGGTGCCTGTGACTGTGAAAACACTGTGGCTGCATGTGAGGGTGCAGGGTGTGGCTGGGTCTTTGGGCAGTCACTGTGGGAGTCTCCACGTGCTCCAAACTCCCTGATTCCCTGCTGAGGGTCATTGTTGCAGAATGTGTGCTCAGACTGAGGACTACATAAATCCTTTGTGTGGTTCTTGTGGCAGTGTGAATGAATATTATACCCACTGGGGCTAGTGACCAGGCATTGATTTCCTTGGAGGAGAGGAGATGAGAATGAGATTATGCCAACAGAGCAGATTAATCCTCCCCTTTGATTAAAAAAAAGAAGAAGAAGAGTTTTACCATGTCCAATTTGTGTGTCACCTTGGACACTCCTCTTGCCTTGGAACACTGAACAGAGATCCCTGGCCACACCCAGCACACACCTCATGGTATTCACTGAAAGAGCAGACACTGCACTAATCCACAGAGGCATAGTCCAATGATAAAAGCCATGACAGGGAAAAAAGTCCCTACAAGTATTTCCACAAATATCAAAAATAAATGCAGCAACCCAAGAAACAAGAACAAGGAAGATAACATGATGCCTCCAAAGGAACACAACACTTCAATACTAGAATGTGAAAATAAAGAGACTGAAGAAATGCCAGAAAGGGAATTCAAAAAATTGTAGGATTACTTAGAAGTAATCAGAAGCAAATCCATGAATTAAATAAATCCATACATGACATGAATGAACATTTTTTCATGAAACTGAGATTTTAAAGAAAAATCAAAATGAAATATTAAAATGAAGTATTTAACAGATCCAATAAAAATGCGGTGGAAAACCTTAACAACTGACTCAGTGAGGCAGAAGAAAGAATATCCGAGTTAGAAAACAAATCTCTGGAGATATAACAGTCATACTGAAAAAAAAAATAGAAGAAGAAACAGGGTTAGAGCTTTATGGGAGATTATCAAATGAACAAACATATGGTTCTTAGGAGTTTCTGAAGACATGGAAAGAGAGAAGGGATTAAAAGGACTTTTTAATGAAATAATCACAGAAAACTTCAATAATTTGGGGAAAGAATGGGGTGTCAAAGTACAGGAAGCACATAGAACACCTCATAGACATGACACATTGTAGTCAAACTCTCCACCATAAAACATGTATAATTTGGGACATGCTCAATCTGACTTGCCCCAATTGGTAGAGTTAGAAACATACCAGGGGATTCCAATTCAAGCCCATCAAGGTGGCATGTACCAATGCCATCTCACTAGTCCAAGTGATCAATTTCAGTTCACAATTGATCATAATGAAAGGACTAAGACTCAAAGGAAGCACATAAACAAGTCTAGTACCTGCTAACACTAACCGATAGAATAAATAAAGGGGAGAGTGATCCAACATGGGAAGTAAGATACTCAGCAGACTCATAGAATGGCAGATGTCCTAAATAGCACTCTGGCCTCAGAATCAGCCCTAAAGGCATTCGGATCTGGCTGAAAAGCCCATGAGAGTATTTCAGGCATGGAAAGCCAAGACACTCTGGCAAAAGATCTCTGTGAGTGAGATCCCAGTGGAAAGAACAGGTCTTCAAAGAAGGAGGTACCTTTCTCTGAAGGGAGGAGAGAACCTCCACTTTGACTATGACCTTGTCTAAACAAGATAAGAGTTGGAGAACTCAGAGGGCTTCCATAGCCTTGGAAACTCATGACTGGAGCATAGGGAGATTACTGATGCCATAGACAGGAGTGTCAATTGGTAAAGTCAACAACAGGAGTCACTGTGCACTTACTCCTCATGTAGGATCTCTGTCCTTAATGTGCTGTACATTGAGGCTTAATGCTATAACGAGTACTCAAACAATATATTTCACTTTGTGTTTCTATGGGGGTGCAAACTGTTTAAATCTTTACTTAATGCATACTAAACTGATCTTCTGTAAAAAAAAAAAAAAGAAATTCTCAACTCCCAACTTGACTGTCACTGGGATTAAACATGACAATAGGTCTGATCTGATTTCATCATCATTTAAAAAAAATCATCTATTATTTTTCACTTTATGTTTCTGTGTGGGAGCAAACTGTTGAAATCCTTACTTAACATATACTAAGCTGATCTTCTGTATATTAAGATAATCGAAAATGAATCTTGATGTGAATGGAAGGGGAGAGGGAGTGGGAAAGGGGAGGGTTGTGGGTGGGAGGGACGGTATGGGGGAAAGCCATTGTAATCCATAAGTCGTACTTTGGAAATTTATATTCATTAAATAAAAGTTAAAAAAAAAAGAATGATAAACGTGAAAAAAAAAGATTCTAAAATGTGCATGAGAGAAATGCTAGATTACTTGCAGAGGCTCTCCAATTAGACTCATGCTGACTTTTCATCAGAAACCCTACATGCTAGGAGAGAACAGTGAGATATATTCCAAGTCTTAAGAGAAAAAACTGTCAACCCAAAATACTGTATCCTGCAAAGCTCTCATTTATGAATGAAGGTGAAATAAATGCCTTCCAAAACTAAAAGATATTGAAAGAATTTGTCACCACTTGTCCAGCCCTACAAAAGATGTTTAAGGATGTGCCTTACACAGAAACACAGTCAACAGTATGAAAGAAGGTGAAGGCAGAAAATCTCCCAGTAAAAGTACAAAGGAGTTCCAAAATAAACAATAGGAACCTTTGTGGAAAACAAATGAACTTACTCTGGTTTTTCTTCTGTATAGTTCCTTAGATTTCGGAATATTCTGTTACTGGGAATCTGGCCAAAATCTGCTTTAGAATCTTTTTAAAAAGAATGCATTGGTTATATTGGACCATCTCCCCCCACCCCCTTCTCTTATTACATACCATTTGTGTGATTACAGTGTTAAGTCTTAGTTCCTATGTCTTTGGGCAGAAGAGTATATCAGTTATCTTAAATGAATTTTTCCCTGTCTTTGAAGCTCAGTCCATAAGTGTGTTGTTGCCACAAAGGAAAAAAACTTGGGTTTGCGTTACTTGAATACTTGAAGACAAATTGATAAGACACATTATGTAATGAATTAGGTTTTTATTTCTGGATAAAACTAGAAATGAAATAAAGATTTGAACTACTTAAAGGATGAAATAATGATAGCGCTTATAAGCACTGTGAACTTTTTTGTGTTTGAGGCATCCAAATTTCAAGTGTTCACTAGATTTTTCTCCCGAAATTCTGCTTTTCTTTTCTGTGCTTCATGTATTTACTTCTATTATTGATGTTGTAAAACAGTAGAATTAAAGTGTCATTATATCTGTGTTCATTATGAATCCCATAGCTTTCTAGTTAGGAAAAAATAGTCTCAAAAATAGTCTTAGTGTCATTTTTTTGGTTAGTATTTTACCCATTAATGGTATTTTAGACACCTTTAATCATTTTAATAAAATGTCTATAGAAATTCAAAACATTACATATTAAATTTGAACTAGTTAGTGAAGAGTTAGAAAAAATAGCTTATTGAGGATGTAGAAGTTCCATTGATTAAATTTCAAAATTTTTAATAAAAGAACTTTCAGAGATAGGTTGAGATCTGATGGTATCTATTAAACTAGCTCCTATGATGTGGAACGGACCTCTGGAAGCAATGGAAGACATGTTAAAGCACTTAACTTACTTAGTTGCCATGGTTGTGGTTGTGGTGTGCTTGTATTTTAATACAGGTAGTGACACACTGACACTTTCGTTGCCCAATAATCTAGAGTAGTATAAAATGAGTAATTGTCACTGCATTAGCTATAATGTTAAATTGGCAAGTTGTAGCATGAGGCTTAAATCTGTATTTCTCAAATGTGAACCATAGTAGTCTAATGCTTCTTTGTATAAAGTACAAATGCTAAAAATAGTCTCAGCACTGAACATGTATTAGTACCTCTCAAATGAATGCAACCGTTTATATAAGTGTTTCAATATGCTCCAGAAAGTATCTGAGTCTCTGTGATTTTGTTAATCTGTTTGGTAATGAAGATACTTGCTGTTTTTTTGTTGTTATTATATATTTTCATGTTTAAATTTGAATTTTTACATTTTTATTACTGTTAATTTAAGTACAATTTGTTCAATGGTTAAAATGGGGTTGTTGGTGAAGAAACTTAAAAAGACCCTCATTCATGTAATGGCTTAAATCAAAACTACCTTTTATGTTCTATGTTCATACATTTTTAATGATCCGTATCTCTGTTTAAATATAAGTGATGATGTTTAAAATAAAATAAAATTAAGTTAAACTTTAAAAAGCTAGCAATTTCTGGTAGTATCAGGAATACAAAGATTTATGATTGGTGTGTTGATACACTTACAGTGAAATTTTATAAATCAGCCTTCTTCTGCCTTGAAATGACAGAAACTATTTAGGAAAATAGTTGAAATAATGAAACTATGTACACACACCAAAGCAAATCATACAAATGGAAGTTACTCACTTTACCACTACCAATTCCCAGATCCAGGTTTCAGGAAAATAGCTTCGCGCAGTCTTAGGGAGTGTTAATGGTGTCATCCTCTCATTCAGTTTTGTATCAGCCACTAGAACTATCAAAATGTGAGAAAAAAGTACACTGCTTTGAGACTATTTCCATGCAGTGTGATCTGAACAAATAATGTGGACAAATATTCAGTTTTCCTGCTTAAATTAAAATTTTAGGAAAACTGTACTTGGAAAAACATATTGAGGCACTCATTTTCTGGGTGGCTTGAAGGTATAAAATCTTGGAGAAAATAGAACCTTGTGTTGGTGGAGCCAGAATGAAAAATGGTGCATAGTTTCTGGGTTGGGGCAGTTGGGGTAGCTTCCAAAAAGACAGTAAAGGGGCTGGTGCTGTGGCGCAGCAGGTTAAGGCATCAGCTGCAGCACTAACATTCAATAGGGGCATCCATTCAAGCTCAGCTGCTCAACTTCCAATCCAGCTCCCTGCTAATGCACCTGGGGAAGCAACAGAGGATGACCCAAGTGCTTGGGCCCTGCCACCCATGTAGGAGACCTGAATGAAGCTTTGGGCTCCTGGCTTTAGCCTGGCTTAGCCCTGGTTGTTGCAGCCATTTGAGGAGTGAACCAGCAGAAGGAAGACTTCGCTCCTTCTCTGTAACTTTGCCTTTCAAATAAATAAAACAAATCTGTAAAACCAACAAAGAAGAAAAAACAAAAGACAGTAGAACTTTGGACAAAATGGAGACAAAAATCAAGTTCCTATCAAGTGCATTTCTTTGGTAGGGCAAAAGAAATATATGACATAGAGTATCTCTCTCTCTCTCTCTCCCTCCCTCCCTCCCTCCCTCTTACTGTCTGTAACTCTACCTTTCAAATAATAAATGAAAATATAAAAAAAATCTAAGAATTCCCTTCTTGAGTTGACTTATTTTCAGAAATAATTTGTGAAGAGCAGATACAATAGGAGATTCCTTACATGATTCTTTCCCCATACATTTCTCATTCAGAGATTTCTGTATTTATACAGTTTCATTTCTCCAGATCCTTCTCTGGAATGGCCAGCAATTTCTTTACTTGGTCTCTTTCTGTTTGACTTTAATTCCTCAATGTTTTCTGATGTTTCACTCCTCCATTCACAAGCTTAAGCATCTATGGGAACCTGATAATTTATCCCATAGGTATGGTAGCCATAGTCCCTAAGCCCCCTAATGGTTTTGGGGAACTATAAAAATGTTTTAATTTTTTTCCAAACAATAACGAAAAAATGTATATAACCCAGCCTGGATTATAATTGCCTTTATACCCACACATACATAAAATATTTTAGTATATATGTATATATTTGCATAAATATGTAAAGCAAAGGAATTCTAGTAAACTTGAACATCCTAGAAAGATTCCTGGATTGAATATAGTGTTTTCTGGACATAGACTCCTGTTACTATTTTCTTCTCTCTTATTCTTTATCCATAAATCAAATTATATATTTATCTTCATGATCCAATTATTTTGAACCTATGTTGAAAACCAACTGCTATTTCGAATGCATGTTATAAAATTATATTTTGGAACAAAGGAATGCTGTTTGGAAAATGGGTTGGTTATGCCCTGAATTTACAGGCTAGTAGCACTTTAGTATCTGACTACAGACATCACTTTAGATATCAAAGGCTATAGGAAATAATTCTTTAAATAGTCATTATCCCTCATATAGATTATAATAGCACCATATAGTATATGAAATGAATATCTTATAAAATATTATTGTCTAATGTAAGGAGGGAACTTATAAAAGAATTATTTTGATTATTTCATTGTGTTAATGAAATTAAACCTGAAGAAGAAAATTGATTTGCTCTGTGCTGCACATCAGGACTTTTGGCTCCTGACACAGTCTTCAAAATTTTTTAAAAAGATTTTTTACTATGCCAACAAAGATAGCTTAGTGAAAGATGACATGTTGAAAAGGGTGGGTAGAATTGGAGGAGAAAATGCTTGGCTTTGGACTCTGCAAGTAAAGAGCCTGGAACCAAGACTAAACATGAAACATTTAGGATAGGATTAGGAGATAGAGAAAGTACACTTCATTTATATGTGATTGCTATATGTGATTATTGCAAATTTCACTATAATTTGACTTAAAGCTATATAATTTCTTCTAATATCTTTTTCTTTGCTTGAAATGTTTCCTTTTCCTCTTCTGGCACCTTCTGTGCACATGGGAAAGTTCTCGTCATTCCGTATGAGCTATTTCCTCTATGTAATGTTTTCATACTTCTCAGGATTATTCTCTTTTCAACATTTTTTATTTTAATTTTATTTTTTTCTAATTTGAGAGAGAGAGAGAGAACAAGAAAGACAGGTAAGGGAGGGAGTTCCCATCTGCAGGTCCAGTCCCCAAGTGCCTGCCATGTTGGAGCTGGGCAAGGATGAGGCTGGGAGCAGGGAACTCAATGAAGGTCTCCCATGTAGGTGGCAGGGATCCAATCACTTGAGCCACCATTGCTGCCTCCTAGGGCCCACATTAAGAGGAATCTGAAGTCGGAGGCCAGTATTGGATGTAAAACTCTGGTGCTGTGGCATGGAATGCAGGTATCTTAACTGCCAGGCAAAAAGCCCACCACGTTCTCTTCTCATGTATCCTTTGTACACCTATTGTAGTAATTATTTATGTTTTATCTTTTTGTCTTTTTGTTTGTTTGATTTTTGCTTATTGGGTGGCAATGTAGTGTCCAATAGATCAAAAGATTTGTTTCCACTGGATCTGCTACTTACTGTCATCATAACTTTGGGCAATTAATTTATACCATGTAATTGCAGACTCCGTCTTCCTCATGTAGACAATCTACCTGCCTTACCATGTAATTGTTATCATATTTGCTTTATTTCCTTTACTTTAAAACATAAACTGATTTGTTATTTTACCTGGCATTGAGTAGAAAGTACATAATTTGGGATATTTGATCTTCAAGTTAGTGAATACCTTTAAGCCCATGTCCTGGAAAGACAATGATTACTTGATCAAACATAAATATTTAAACATTTTGAAAAAGTCACATTTTGTAAAAAAAAAAAAGGAATACCCAATCCATGCTGTTATATAATTTATACAAGTTATTATATAACTTTTCTATAAGAAAAGTTAACAGAAAACTGAATCAAGTAGTGGAATAATGGAATTTTATTTTCTTAAGACTCTTCAAATGTTGTTACTCATGTTCTTTAGCACAACAAAGCTGAGCATTGTAATGCTGAGTGAGGAAAGGATTTATAGTCCAAAATTCATCCTGGCCTTGGCTGTGCTCTGATTATCTGTTAGCTGAGTAAGACACTAACCCTCACTAGGCCTCAGTTTACTCAGCAGGAAAATGAGAACTTGCAATGAGCATGTTAAAACATTCTTTACCAATGTGATCTTCTATTAATCCTAAATAATTTATAGAACTCTAATGGCTCATAATGGGTTTTACCTTTACAAGACTGTAGAGATCTTTTTCATTTTTGTCTAGGATTTGGTATGGTAATGTGTCAGTGGAGACATGTCTGATACAGTCTTCTTCGTCTTCTTCTTCTTCATCTTTTGTCCTGACAATAGCTTTCAGAAGTGCCAAATTATATACCTATAAAATATGAGAAAACAAGTGGCAATGTTTTCCTGAGCTTTCTTGGATAAGCTCAGTAAAAAGAAGTAATGTGGCCAATGCAAATCATTTCTTCAGTGTGTTTACTACCTATTACAAAGTTTTTATAGATATTTTCTTTTGAAGAGTGCTTTGTCCTAAAAGTGTTTACCATATTCAAGAAAAAAAGTGTTCCAAATACTGAAGAGTATCAGAAAGCATCAAGAGAATGCTCAAATTCTTATATTGGAGGGAAATAATTTTACAGTAATATTATAACAGTACAAAAGGTATTAAATATAAATATAGACAGTTAATATATAGAATTTCACTACATAAAAGGTGACTAACCTAGTTTTATGGATATTACCCTTAAGGAACATACAATTTTAGTTAGGTTTATGATTGGAGTAGGTAGAAAGCAATGTTGCTACTATTAAAGCTTACATCTACCCATTTCTACCTTTGTATGTAGAATGGAAAATGAATTTCCTGTTCTAAATAGTTACATAAACAATCACATATCATCTATCTGTGTCAGATCAGTGTAGTCCAAGATACTATCCAATGATGTTCCATAATTCTCTGTTGTCCCATATGTGCTCAATTATGCGATCTTTTTCTACCAAATTATTGCTCAGAATTTTTTTGTATTTTGGTCCTTGCAATTTTTTTTGTCATGTTATAGAGCATTGCCTTTTTTTTTTTTTTTACAGGCAGAGTTAGATAGTGAGAAAGAGAGACGGAGAAAGGTCTTCCTTCCATTGGTTCACCCCCCCCCCCAAATGGCCACTACGGCTGGTGCGCTGCACTGATCTGAAGCCAGGAGTCAGGTGCTAGGTCCTGGTCTCCCATGCGGGTTCAGGGCCCAAGCACTTGGGCCATCCTCCACTGCCTTCCTGGGCCTCAGCAGAGAGCTGGACTGGAAGAGGAGCAACCAGAACAGAATCCGATACCCCGACTGGGACTAGAACCCAGGGTGCTGGGCGCTGCAGGCGGAGGATTAGCCTAGTGAGCCGCAGCGCCGGCCTCTTGCTTTCACTTGAACACTCATAGGCCACATAGGGCTATTTACCAGCCTAATTTCAATACTACTGTGCCTCATGGAATATGGAATTTCAGAGAGAGGAAGAAATATGGGAGAATGGAGTAGTGGAGTAGTCACACAACACACACATTATTAAGTACTGTCTTCTGTCAGCAACATTCTTGGCAACCCAAAATAATTATGATAGTAACATCAAAGATCACAGATAACAGATCATCATACAAGATGAAATAATAATGAAAAAGTTTGAAATATTGCTGAGAATTAACAAAATGTGTGTGAGATAGATAAAGGTAGCACATGCTTTTGGGGAAAATGGTTCTGATAGGTTTTTTCAATGCACAGTTGCCATGAACCTTTAATTTACTTAAAATAAATGCGTTTATCTGTGATGAGAAATAAATGAAGCACGGCTGTGTATACAATCATTGTCTTTGGAAATGGAATTCTCCTGTAGTTACAAGCTCATCGCATTAGCCTATTGCTGCTTATTGGACACTGGTAGAGAACAGGAGACTTCTGGATCAGAGATAAACGCTT